CTTCTACTTCAGGTTATAATTCGCCTTGATTCGCACCGCGATCCGAGGAATGAGGCGCCATTTCCCTTCTCCGCTTCCTCCCTGTCGGTTCAACGTCATCAGGCATGAACTAGTTCAACTTCGACAACAAACTCTCCGTGACTCCGGATTGACAGATCCCCGATCATCATTTTTACAGCGCTTTAAATAGATTGAATGCTCGATTTTTATGGAATTCCCGTTGCACCCTTCAAACGCCATCTGTCATATGGGATATATACATGGGGTTAAGATTATTTCGAAGAAACTACAATCGCAACAAAAGACTGACAATTAGAGCATGCCGTGCTGATTACCTCTTTGCCCGCTTTTTGTCCGGCTTCGGTTCTTCATCATCGCTGAGCTCCCGATAGATAGGCGTGGGTTGTGTCTCCTTCCACGCCTTGGTGAAAATTGGATCCTTTTCAGCCTTGTCCGCATATTTCAACAGGGCCTCCCGAGGATCTTCGTCCCGCATCGAACTGAGAGGGATGTTCTCTCGAATATGCTTTTCGTCCGGTTGCGACTTGGCAAACGGAGTCGCAGCCGGCATGTAAGGTCTGCGAGGGTCCTTGGGACGTCCCGAAGCCGTCAACCCAATGGTCGGGTGGCGGGCAGACCAAGTAGACGAGCTGTAGTGAGGAACACCGTTCGACCCCACTACAACAGAGTCTCCCGAGAGACCCTGGCTGAGATCCATGGTGAGACTAGGGTCATCGTCGATGTGGCGGCGCTTCGGCGCCTTGGACATAACCAGGGCCGCGCCCTTGGTCGACATATTCGGGTTGTAGAGAACATGCGTTTCGGCATTGGCAGAACCGGTAAGGATCTGGTTCATCTTCTCGTGCCATAGGACAGTGATGACCGGGGATCCAGGGGTAATCGGCGTTACTAGTTCCGGCCTCAGAGTAGCAGGGTTCAAGATATGCAGGTGGCCAGTTTCGGATCCAGTAAGCACATTCGCCGAGGAGGGGGAGAAGATGATGTTCGATGTCGAGAAGCGGGTACTAGACGGATGGGATACAGTTGTGATCGGTTTCTTGAATTTTCTCGTGTCCCAGAGCTTGATGGTGTCATCGCCGCCCTTAGTGACTACCAGCCTGCCATCGGAGCTGATATCGACGCCGCTCGTCCAGGTGTCCTTGGTATGAGCATCCCGAACCTCACCACTGGGACGGGTAAATGGTCCATCACCACCCCACATCATCAAGCTCCCATCAAGGGCAGCACCGATCAGAACATTAGGGCCTCCTTGTTTGGGCGAGCCCCACGCGACGGCTGTCATTTTGCTCCGACCAGCGGATCCAGCCATCTTGGACTTGTGCACAATCACTTCCTTTTGTGTCCTTCCTACATTCGCGTCCCAGATGCGCACTGTGCTGTCCGTTCCGGCCGTCACACATAAATTCTCGTCGGTCGGGCTCCATGCTCCGCTGGTGACCTCCGAAATATGGCCCTTGGTATTGTGTAGGTCCCTCAAATACATGTCACCCTTGACAAATTCAGTAATCGTGTCACCATCGCGATTCAGAATCCTCGGCTGCGCTGTAGCAGAGACAACCATCACATAGGTCGGGGCCAGTGGGTTGAATGCGACGTAGTGTACGGAGTGTGCTTCTTGGGCGGCGGACTGTTTCTTCGCAGACGGGTCGACGGACTTGAAGGCGCGTATAGTCGAAGGGGTCATAGAGGCAAAATCGTGCAGTTTGATAGTGCAGTCCGTGGAGCCGGTGATCAACCGCGAACCCGCCGGGTCAACGGTCAATGTAGTCACTGCCCGGTCATGGGTCTTGAGTAGCATCTCGTGGGAGACCGGAAACTCATCCTCATCGTCCTCTGAGTCGGAGTCGTCTGAGTCGGAATCATCACTTCCATTGTTACTATCAGGTCTCACCTCCCGGTCCTCTGTTTCAGGAATGGTTGGCTCCTCAGGAGTGACCTCGGTGTTCGATCGCGTCTTCTCGCCATCGCTGTCGAGTTTCGCAGCTACCTCGGTGCGCTTGGTGCGATCGATCTGAGTGCTCACATCAGTTTTCTTCTCCTGCCGGCCAAAGCTTGTTGGAAAGAACTTCTTAAAGGCTTCCTCGTCGAATCCTTCCATTTTGGCTAGTTGATGGAGTGTAACGCAGGATAAGAAGCGATGACTTCAGACGACATTCAGAGGATGTTCCAGCTCTTTTGGCGAGTTTGCATAGTTTGTTCTGTTTGCCGTCGACTCACGTGATGATAAGACTGGTCCTCACTTGTAACAACCAGTCCATAGACTAGAGACATGACGTGACGCTTGATTAGTCTTAGTGGAGATGGCTTTATCTTAGCATCTCTGAAACTTTTCAAGCAGAAGATCACTGTAGTACCTATATCTATCTTACTTCACATAAGTCACTATTTCTGGAAGAGTATGGACTACGCGATATAGCTTGAGAGCTCATGGAGAGATTTGTGGACCAAAGATCACTTGTCAGGCTAATATAGATCTACGTACACCATCAACATCGCGCGTCTACAAGTACAAGCCCTCAACAGGGCCACCGTCCTGCTTGGTCTTCATGATGCGCTCCCTAGCAGCGCGGAAGTCGTCCATCTGCACTCTCATCCGGCGTTCTCTCAAAGCCATGAGACCGGCCTCGGTACAAATGGCCCGAATATCAGCACCAGAAAGATCATCCTTCTGGTTGATGAACTCATCCAAGTCGACGTCATCTCCCAGCGACATCTTCGATGTGTGCAGGGTGAAAATCTTCTTCTTGGTGTTTTCTAGAGTACAATTAGTGCTCGAGCTCAGCTGGCAATATATAGGGGACACTCACGGTCGGGGTTCTCGAAGAGGATCTTTCGGTCAATACGTCCCGGACGGATCAAAGCGGGATCCAGAGTCTCGATCTTGTTGGTGGCCATGATCACCTTGACATCACCCCGGTCGTCGAAACCATCCAGTTGGTTAAGCAACTCAAGCATGGTACGCTGAATTTCTCGCTCACCGCCGGATGTGGAGTCGTAACGCTTGGTACCAATAGCATCGATTTCATCAATAAACACAATGGATGGGGCGTGTTCGGCCGCAACCTGGAAGATCTGTCGAACCAAGCGAGGACCATCTCCAAGATACTTCTGGATAAGCTCACTACCAACAATACGAAGGAAAGTGGCACTGGTCTGATTGGCGACAGCCTTGGCCAGCAGGGTTTTTCCGGTACCCGGGGCACCGTACAGGATAACACCTTTAGGCGGCTTGATACCCATCTCCTCGTACAACTCAGGGTGGAGCAGCGGAAGTTCGACGGATTCGCGGACCTCCTGAATCTGGGTCTCAAGACCACCAATGTCTGCGTAAGACTCCGTCGGTGCCTTGTCAAGCTTCATCACGGAGACGAGGGGATCGGACTCCTCGGTCAACACACCAACCACGGAAACCGATTTGTGGTGTAGAAGAATACTGGCACCAGGCTCAAGCAAGTCCTTGTCAACGAACGACATGATCGAGACGTAGTACTCGGGGCCAGTAGCGCTGGAGACGATCGCGTGATCGTCATCGATCAGCTCTTCCAGGTTGCCGACACCCATGGGACTGCCTCTCATATCATCAACCCGGCTTCTCTCATCTGCGTTTCTGTCCGCGAGCTCGAGGTCGCTTCGGTTGGCTGTATCCAGTGCAGCCTGGGCCTTGGTCTTGCGCAGACGCTCCATGTTCTCAACGTATTCTTCTTCTAGCAGCAGGTGGTCGTGAACCCGCTGCATGCGGAGGTATCGTAGTTTACATCGTGACGTCGGGAAGATATCGGGGAGCTTGGAAGCCGTGCTTGGGCCTGCGGCCTTACGCTTCTTGCGACCGAGGCGAGTGGTAGGGGGAGGAGGTGGTTCGTATCTGGGCTTATCCTTCTGTGGACGGGTGTCTTGGTAAGCCGACTCATCCTGACTCTGAGCGAGAGGATCGATATACCTTCTTGTCCTTGTCATCTCTTCCATCCCCACCGGGGCCTCCGCCAATGTTGGACTGCTGGTTACCCTATTTATCGGAAATTATTAGATAGGTGACATCAAGAGGCGTCAAGAGCTGCGGGCGACAGCAAGGGTTGACAGCGTACCATAGTCCTAGGGAGTTAGAGACACAGGGCGAGTATTAAAAATGACGTTGAACGGCCAGGCTAGAGGCGGATAAGATTCGATGCAGAGATACTGGGGGAACGGGCACAAGCAAGGTGGATGATGGGTGGAGGATGGGAGGCGTGAAGCTGTGATGAGATGAGCAGCAGCTGGGAAGCTGTCGTCGCCGTCCGGCCCGGCCTTTGGCGCTGCGGCCAACAACGCATCACCGCCTCACGTGACTGGTTATTAGAGCCTGAGAGCTAAGGCGACACAACTCTAGGCTGGTTTGCCAGGCCTCCAGGCCACCAATACGAATCTGGCAAATCGTTTGATCATCCCAGATCCATGATCCATGATCATCCATTCCCCTCTTCCCTCAGCTTCCTTTTAGATACAGCAGCGCGGTCGACATATCATATTCTTCGACTGCCACTTAAACAAGAATAGACTAGTACTGTCACTCTATTGGGAAGAACAGCCCCAAATCTATTCGCAGTGCGCCATCAGGAGGTGTGCTTCCAACCACCTTGCGAGCTTTATCGTCGGCGAGCGCTTACGCCCCACCAATACTTGCGATCCCCTCATTTTCCTCGCCAGTTCCCCGCCAGATCAAGTGAGGCTGCACTGCTCGATCTTTCCTCCATCAGCGTCCATTTTTGCTTTTTCCCCGTTCCTTTTTATACCTCCGCTTCGTGTCATCTTGGCTAGGACTTTCCTGTATAATCGTCATTACTTTATTTATACTGCTCTCAGGCTGACATAACCTGATCTTCACTTATATAGCTTGCGCTTTGTATTGTTTCCCAGGACAGAATCCTCCTTGGTCTTTCACACCAAAATCCAAAGCACCTCTACTGCTTGCTTCTCCGCAACTACATTGTATCACCCTCAAAGCTATGGCTTCTAATCGAGCACGCCGTATCGCCAAGGAGATTGCGGATATCCATGCAGACACGCACTCGCAGATCACCGCGGAGCCGGTAGGAAGCGACGACGACATCACACACCTCCGCGGGACCTTCCCAGGACCGCCGGGGACTCCGTACGAAGGTGGCACATATGCAGTGGACATCAGGATCCCCACCGACTACCCATTCCGGCCCCCTGTGATGAAGTTCCAAACCAAGGTCTGGCACCCGAATGTCAGCAGTCAAACGGTGAGTGCTGGAGTTATTTCCTTTTCCGATGCCCGTGACGTGACTTGCTCATGTCTCGCTCCCCTCTCATAGGGCGCGATTTGCCTGGATACCCTATCCACCGCCTGGTCGCCCGTCCTCACCATCAAATCCGCTCTCCTCTCACTGCAGTCACTGCTGAGCACGCCAGAACCGAAGGACCCGCAAGATGCGGAGGTCGCGCAGATGCTGTTGCGCAACCCCAAGGAGTTCGCCCGGAAGGCCCAGGAGTGGGCGGTCATATATGCGGGGGCGCCGAGGAAACACGCGGGAGAGGGCAGTGGCGGCGCGACGGATGAGACCTTGCGCGAACTGGAGCTCAAGACCAAGGCGGAGCAGGAGAAGGAGGATCTCGCCAAGTATGGACCATTCCCGCTCGAGACCTGCGCATATATTCTCGCTAACCGTGGCTGGACAGGTATGATGGCTATAACAAAGACCTGATCGACCGCTTCTGTAGCATGGGTTTCGACGTCGACCGCGTGGTAGCGGCGTTCAAATACTATGGCATCGACAAAATGGACGGCGAGGATTATGAGCTGGAGGAGGCATACATGGGGGATGTCACTGCACGGCTGCTGGGTGAGCCGTAAGCGAGACCTAGACAGACCGCATTCACAGACAGCTTTTCTTTTCTCGGGATCGCGTGTTGAGGTTCGAGATTTGTTGTCCGATCGAGCGCTCCAATTTCTTCTCGTTTGAGCTCTTTTCATATATCCAGCTATTCATCCATGTGCGTTCATTAGCATCAGAGATTTTGAGTAATTAAGCCAACAAGACATGTGCATCGACAAGAAGAAATTGGTGGGATAAAGACACTATTGTATGCAGTTGTGTAAACGCGCGTAACTTAGCTTAGTGGACAAAAGGGATGCTGGAAGAGCAGCGCTATCGATAAGCACGTGGATCATCACCGGATCCTCCTCCGTCTCCGCCCATCTCCATCTCCTCCAACTTTCTCCGCCGCAAATCCCTTTCACCAGCACCAACTTTCCAAAACAAGTGCCCATCCACCTCACCATTGACCTGGCACTGCACTCACCGCACCGTCCACCCACAAACCAACCCTTCCACCCTACAACCCGACTGCGCAACAGACGCCCCCCTCACGGCTTGCCAAGCCGCCATCAAGCCCACCATGATCGAAGACGACTTCTACCGCACCTCCTCGCAATACCGCCTCTGGTCCTTCACGACGGCCTCCCTCCAAGCCCAGCGGGCGACCACCAATGCCGTCGCCAGCGACCGGGTGCGCGCCGCCATCCGCCGCGCCCAGGAGGCGCGCCGCTCCGCCACCTCGTCCGCGACGGGCACCCCGGTCCCCGAAGTTGACGGTAACGCGAGCACGCCCAACCCGGCGAAAGGCGACGAGAAAGCCATCGAATGCCTCACGCCCGAGGAAGAGCAGCAGACAGTGAGCTACTACTGCGAGCAGATCATCCAACTGGGCGAGGCGTACAAACCGCCATTACCGACGATAGTTCGAGTGAGTGAGCCAGCAGCCAGCCAGCCAACCACCCCCCAAAAAACCCCCCAAAAACCCACACTGACACCAACACAAAAAAAAAAAAAAGGCAACAGCAATCCAATACCTCCGGCGCTTCTACCTAACCAACAGCCCGATGACCTACCACCCCAAACAAATCATGCCGTGCGCGCTCTTCCTGGCCACCAAGACCGACAACTACTACATGTCGCTCCGACACTTCGCCGACGGGGTGCCCGGCGACACCACCGCCGAAGACATCATCGCGCCGGAGTTTCTGGTCATGCAGAGCCTGCGCTTCACCTTCGACGTGCGGCACCCGTTCCGGGGACTGGAGGGCGGGATCATGGAACTCCAGGCCCTGGCGGCGGGCCAGGGCCCGCCGGCGCCGCACCTCGCCCACACCCACACCCCCGAGTCCCTCCAGCGGGGCCTTCTCGCCCTGCCCCCTCCTCCCCCCAATGCCACCTCCACCTCCACCTCCGCATCATCAGTAACAGACCGCATCGCCCGCGCCCACCACCACACCCGCGAGATCCTCAAATCCGCCGCCCAGATCACAGACGTGTATTTCCTGTTCACGCCGGCGCAGATCTGGCTCGCCGCGCTGCGGCTGGCCGACCCGCCGCTGGCCGAGTATTACCTGGACACGAAACTCGGCGGCGGCGGCGGCGGCCACCGCCCCGCGCAACCGTCCGGGGGCGCAACCCCGGAGAATGATGTTCTGGCCGTTCTCCGACCCAAACTCCTCCGCACCCTCACCGACTGCGCCGCCATGCTGCAGGCCTACAAGCCCCTCGCGTCGGATCCCGATCAGATGAAGACCCTCCGCCGCATCATCGGGAAGAAGCTGTACCACTGCCAGAACCCCGAGAAGGTAAACTTGGGAGGTGGCGCGCAGAAGAGGATCCCCGCCGCGGCGCTCGCTGCCGCGGCAACAACAACAACCGGGGGGGTCGATTCCGGGGCGTCGGAGAGTGAGATGGAGCGGTTGGCGAAGAAGCGGAAGTTGGAGAACGCTGCGGAACATTCTGGCAGTAAAGATATTTTCGGGGGGGAGTTGGTTATGCAGAGGACTAAGGAGCGGTAGGCGGTGGGGTTGGAGGTGTTGTATTAGGATGGTAGAGAGGGGGGGGTATAAAATTGAGGGTGGAATCAAAAGTCTACATATAGCAATGGTTGATTGGGATTAGCAGCGGCAACGGAGTCACGGACGAAGAAATATATCACGCTCCCTACATATACAATCTTCTACAAGACTTGAAACTAAGATTTGAGAAGCGCAACTACAATTCAGAGGCAAGATCCCAAAACAATCCATTCTCAAGGAGACACCTGTGCCCCTAAGGATGATGAACAGTCTATACCGTATACGAGAATCCAAGAAAGAAAAGCATCAGATTTCACCCCCTCAAACGCTCAAGTCTAAGTTAGGGGGATGAAAGTGAAATGGTATGAACGACGATGATGGAAATGAACACGGCCATCTAAGAAACACAACATAAAAGAAAAAAAAAACAAAGAACACCCAAATACTGAGCAGGTGATATCTCCAGGTGGTATTTAAGCAAAACGGGATAAACACAAATGTATCCCCCTTAAAACAAGGATCTCTCATTCAGGATGGTTCATCGCTCCTGCGGCTGAGAAAATTGATAAACTTTTTCTCTCACTCCTTTCGGTAAAGTTTTGCTGAAAGCCCGCATCATCGTGTAGACTTTTTTTCTTTCCTGTCTTGATATTTTGTTCGTTTCTGAGCATTCCATTCGTAACAGAGAGAAGCACCTCATAAGAAAAATGCTTCAAGCTTTTTAGACAGCACCCTGGTCGATCATCTTCTTGCGGAGGTAGTTCTTGTACTGTCCGATGGTGCCATCCCAGCGCGTGACGGTCTTGTGCTCGCAGACCATGATGTCCTTGGCGATCTTGTCGAGGAGACGGAAATCGTGGGAAACGACCACAACACCTCCGCTGTAGGCGTTGATGGCATCGGCCAAACTGTCAATGGTGGGGATATCGAGACCGTTGGTAGGCTCGTCCAGGAGAATCATGTTGGGCGACTCAATGGCCAACAGAGCGAAAACGATACGACTCTTCTGACCCTCAGACAGAGTGCCCATAAGAGCAGTCTGGGACTCACCGCTCAGACCGTAGCGGCCGAGCTGCTGGCGCCAGTACTGGTAGTCCTGGGACTTCTCGGGGAACTTGTCACGGACGAACTCCAGGGAAGACTTGGTCAAGTCCAGCTGTTCAGCGGAGTGCTGGCTGTACATGCCGAGCTTCAAGTGGGTGTGACGGCTGACACTACCACCAATGGGGCTGAGCTTGCCGGTCATCAGACGAAGCAGGGTGGACTTGCCGACACCGTTGGGTCCGACCAGAGCAGTACGGGAATCCATGTCGACACCGAAGTCAAGGTGCTCGTACAGAGTGTCGTCCCAGTTGCCAGAGTAGGAGAAAGAGACATCATCGAAGGACAAAACGGGAGGAGGGAGCTTCTCGACATCAGCGAAGCGGAAGCTGAAGACACGGTCGGGGATGACGGGCTGGATGAAACCGTCGGCCTCCATCTTGTCGAGAATCTTCTGACGGGACTTGGCCTGACGGACCAAGTTGGCGTAGGTACCGGCGGAGGCGATGAACTTCTTGATGTGGGCAATTTCTTCCTGCTGCTTGTGGTAGGCCTTCATCTGGTTCGTCTCCTGTTCGGCACGGGTCTTGTGGTAGGAATCGTAGTTACCACCATAGTAGAGGAGCTGCTTCATGCGCATATCGATCATGTTGGTGCAGACACCGTTCAAGAAATCCATGGAGTGAGAGACCAGAATCAGGGTGCGCTCCCACTTCTTCAGATATTCTTCCAACCACACACAGGCCTCGAGATCCAAGTGAGCAGTGGGGTCGTCCAGCAGGAGGAGCGAAGGCTTGACGAAGAGAGCCTTAGCAAGGGCCACACGCATACGCCAACCACCGGACATGTCCTTGGTCTTCTTGTGGATGGTCTGCTTGTTGAAACCAAGACCCGTCAGGATCAGGGAGGCACGGGTGTGGAAGGTCGAGGGATCCATCTTGTCCATGCGCTGATGAAAAAGTTAGAGACATGTTGCTCGTCAGGTAGTTAAGAGGTACTTACGTCGTAAAGGTCCTCGAGGATAGGGCTGTCAGGGCCATCCTTCTCCAAGATCTCCTCGGCCTGCTTCTCCATGCGGTCGAGCTGGTTCTGAGCCTCAGTAACAACCCACTCAAGGGCACCGAGGTCGGTGGGGGGAGCACCCTCGTTGAGGAGGTAGATGTCAATGTGCTCGGGGATGGGGAACTCGCGAGTGGCGATGGACTTGAGAAGGGTGGACTTTCCGCAACCGTTCTCACCCAAGAGACCGTAACGGCGACTGAAGTTCAGTTCGAGGGTGGAGTCGGTGATGAGGACCTTGCCGTGGAACACCAGGGAGGCGGAAGTGATCTTGACGTCGCGGGAGGATTCGAGAGAGGAGAGGACACCAGTGGTGACACGGTCCGAGAGACCGTGCTTGTCCATCTGTGCGGTCAGCTTCTCAACCTCCTTCAGCTTCTCAGCGGAGGTGGCAGGCTGATCCTCGACGGGCAAAGGGTTTCCATCGCCATCGAGCATGGGGGTCTCGTCACCGGGGGTCGAGGTACCCTTCTTGGACTTGAGGGTCTTCTTCTTGCCGTCATCGCCACGCTTGGCCATACGAGCAGCTTTGGAAGCAGACACCATTTTGACGGTTGTGAGGGTGTTATGGGAGGGGAGATGGGGGAAGGGGAAAGAGGGGAAGAAGGTAAGAGGAGGCGGGAAGAAAGAGACGAAACCAGTCCGTGAAGAGGAGGAAAAGGGAAAAAAAGAACTTGACAAAGGTGGAGCACTTTCCAGCGGCGGGGTGAAAGAGAGAGGGAAAGAGAGAGAGAGGGAGAGAGAAATAGTAAGAGAGGGGCGACCGAAAGCCTTTTGAGTGGGGGGGGGGGGGGAGTGGGAGGTTCCTTGGATAGCCCTTATCGATAGTAAGAATTTCAACTATGAAGCACAGGCAATGCTTGTTACGATTGCCTCAAAACACAGAGGATACAGAAGGATGAAGATCGAATTGGTATATACGAGATCAAAGAAACCTATCCCCGTGAGACAGAAGTAGGAACAATTCGACCGAAGAACAATAAGCGGAGGATGAAGGAAGCAGAGGATGAAAGACGAAGAAGACGAAACTGCGACCTCAATTTGAGTTGCCTCGAAAATTCCTTCAGTGGGTTTGGCCCAGCCGCGCTGTCATTGGCCTGTCGACGTCACCGCACGGGTGCGTGGCGCAGCCTTGCCTGATTGGGCATTAATGGTCACGTGATACAGAGCCTTATGCCCAAGGCATTTGCTGGCAATGGTCAGCAACCGCTGCGGCGCCTGAGGCCGAAATCTGACCAGTTAATAGGAAAGGGAGAGCATCGGCACCGCAACGCCCAACTCCTTATCATCAAAGCAACTTCAGCCTACCACTGAGAACTACCTAGACCTCAGCAGAGATGCCATCTTATGCCCCAATAACATAGGTCGCAACCACAATCATCCTCTTGTGGTTGGCTTGGTAATTAGAGAAATCCTGTTGGACAAAACCTCAATCACGATAAGCAGCTTACTTTCAACCTCAATAGACAATGATATGGACAATGATAGAACTTCACTATGTACAAGCAGCAGAATGCCTCGATGCTAAGCCACCTATTCTTAATGCGAGCGGATGCAATTCATGGTAGTCGTTCACTAATACTCCGCAAGACCTTCATCTCCGCCTCCGAAATTGAGAATTGATTCGGCAATAGGATCTTGCCCGGTGCAATGAGGACCTGCCTCGGTTCACCCGGGAACACTTCTTGTGTGCTGTCCGTATCAAAACTGGCTCGGTTGATTCCATCCCCGCTTTCGGTGTCACTGGGTTTCGGCCGCGCCAGAGAGACGGGAGTCCACCAGTAGACCGGAAACCGACGCTGGATGTTGTTGATCAACAAGGCCACGGCCTGCATCAGCACGCTTCCGAGGAGCATGACGAGAATCAAGGCCCAGCCCACATCGGCCGACTGCGTCACTGAAAGCAGCGCGGTTGCTCCTGCGGGCGGATGCACGGTATTCGTGAGGACCATGATGCACGTGGTGATGGCACAGGCCAGAGCGCCGCCGATTTGGGGCAACGATTCGGCATGAGCGTTCAGGGCGAAAAGCTTGGAGATTCCAATCCCCACCGTACTCGCAATGACCTGACTGATGACCGCATTCCGTGGCTGGGCAAAGGGTGATTCGATTGCTGAGAACTCCAGCACTGCAGCAGCACCCTAAGGGACGTTTAGTCTTGAAGCTTGGTCACAGGTGTAGATCTGAGGGAAGACGTACGAAACTCGCCACGATGATCGGGGCATTATGGTGCTCAAAAAGGGGCACGTGCATCGATGCCTCCGATACGATGAGCACACCGCAGAACACCCCTATCAGGGTCCAGAAGGCCACAACGACATTGCCGAGAGGCTTTGGAGACGGGGGTTCTCGGTACCCAAAGAAGCGCGAGACCGGCCGAGGTAGGTATCGCCAAGGCGGGGGCGGAAGAAAAGGATTTATATAGGCATCGATATCCACATGGAGTCGGGAGAAGTCGATGCGCTCAAGCATCGACGGAGGCCGGGAGGGCTGGGCAGACGTCTGCTGAACTGTCATGATGGCCACCCTTGGCCAAGACAAACGCGCTTATTCCTGTGTCGGTTAGTACCAGGTCCAGTTCAACAGGTGCTGATATAAAGAGGGGTGTTGCAAGTGGTTTTGAGCATCAAAAGAAACCCGGACAAGCGGATGCTTGTGTATGCCAGGTCAGTCATGAAACTGCGGAATGGAGAGCAACTTGCTCACTAACACAGAATAAAAGATGACAGACAGGCAGATACTCCATTCTGCTAAAAAGCAGGCCTGATGGGTCCAGGTCAGGGGGTACAAGGGGGAAAGGTGGGAATACTTGCCTGGCCTACGTGGTGAGCAGCAACTAAGTATAAGCGGGCGAGCCCATTGAGAGCGCCGTGCATCAAGTGGACACCGCAATTTGGAGTCGCTGGGTCCGCGGAGGGAATGCTGAGCCCATATTAATAGGCATCAGAGCTGGAGGAGATCGGGAGAAGGGAGAACACGCAAGAACAAGAAGATCTTTCGCACGCATTTTGGGCTGGTCATCAGCATCTCCGCGGAAGAGATGTATTCGGCCGTGGTAGCAGAGCAGTCATGGAAGCGGAATTACAGTGCCAACTGACCCAAGTGACAGAATGGAGTTTGAAGTTCAGAGTTCCTGGTCTGTCCTTCCACTCACAGCATTTGAGTTGGGTAATGGAAACTCCGGGTAGGGTTTAGCGTCGGGGACGGTGGGAGATGAGGTCAGCCGGTGGGTTTCTTACCACAAATTACCATTTTTTACCATTGATTACCGTGTTTCCCCCATAATCGGGCTGAGTTGCCCGTATTGCCCATCCGCCGCCCTTCCCGCAAAAGCAGGGCTGTCGATCAATCCGGGGTAGAGGAACACGATCGAGGGAACTCCTCTTGACACGCTCAATACAGCCATCATGCTGATTGGAGTCTAGACTACCGTAGTGGAACCGTAGGAGGGGGGTTCGTGCCTTAGATAGTGTAACGCGCTCTGTTGACACCCCACCACTAGTGAGCTACATGTTCGTACTCGTGCTATTTAAGGTACAAGGGCAGTATATACAAGTACTGAGCATCGTGTGTGCACTGCAATTCTCATCCTGTCATTATATCATAATCTCTAAATACTCATATACACAAACACACTACCCACCGCTTAGAAATCCAGCGTCTTGCCAAGCTTGGAGCTCTCCTGGGCCAACTCGATCAACCGGATAACCTCGCTGGCTTCCGCGCCACTGGCCGGGAGATCGGACTCGCCGGCAAGAGCCCGCGCCAGCTTTCTATAGTACTCGGTCCAGGTCGGGGGCTCGACGGTAGGGAAGACCTCTCGGGTAGGCTTTCCATCCTCAATAGTGGTGAGAGTACCTGGTTGCAGAAATCTGTTAGAACGGTGTTTGAAGTCTGCATCATCGACGTACCATATCTGTCACTGGGCTCGCGGCCGTATCCGTTGTCACCGGCGTTCAATCCGGCCTTGATGTGCTCTTCCTGGATGTCGAGGTGGAACTAATCGTCTGAAGTCAGCAAAACGCCGCTCTTCGTTGTCAGCGGCGTCAAAAAGAGGAGACTGACCTTCCTGTAGCTACCCTTGTCTCCGCGGACCCAGAAGCGCAGCTGCTCGACCTCGGGACTAACAACCGCAGCCTTGGCCGTGACCAAAGGACCGTTCTTGTAGTGAAGCAGGACGGTGAAGGAGTCCTCGTAACCGGATGAGTTCACCTCACGTTGAGAGCCAAGGAAGCCCGTCACCCGCTCAGGCTTGCCGAGCAGGTAGACAGCCTGATCCAGGATGTGAGAGCCCAGGTCGTAGATGGCGCTACCTCCGGGGACAACCTTGTTCTTCCACTTCGAAGCATCTGCAGAAGGCTCTTCGGGGCGGTGGCGATCGAAGTGAGTCTCGAATTCAACGACGCGGCCCAGGGAGCCGCTCTTGACCAACTTGGACACGGTCTGGAAATCGGCGTCGTAGCGACGGTCTAATCACACACCCATTAGGAACCAACCCTTACAGAATTCGAAATAGGGGTAGGGGGTCGACTTAGGGATACGGACTCTGGTAAACAGCCAGGTGCTTGTTCTGCTTCTTAGCCAGGGAAACGAGCTCTTGAGCTTCCTTGGATGTGGGGGTAAAAGGCTTCTCGACGACGACTGCAGCAACAATCAGCGTCAGTAAATCGCTTATGCATCCGCAAAATAAGACCTACCGTGCTTTCCGTGCTCGAGAGCCAGCTTGGTCAACTCGAAGTGCGTTTCAGGAACGGTAGTGATGACGACCAGGTCGACGCCCTCATCCTTGACTAGCTCTTCGGTGCTGCGGTAAGACTTGATGCCGGGGAAGTCCTTCTCCGCATCGTCCTCCGGCTTGGGATTGCGCTGCACAATCGCAGAGATCTTGAATTGAGGAACTTCCTTAATGAAAGGAATGTGGAAGACTTTGGCGCTCAAGCCGTATCCCACAATTCCGACGTTCCAGGTTTTCGAAGACATAGTGAGTGGGGGTGGTTATCGTGGGGGTGGTGATTTTGTGGGAGACGAGGGGCAGAGAAATGAGGGGGACAATTGAGGAAATTGGGGATGATTGATTTCAGGGGGGATGGCGCTCGGTTATATACGGTGTAGACAAGGTCCACTCTGACTATGCCTCTGAACAGTGATTACACGATCTCCAGCATGGGAAGAGGGAAGAAATTGGACTCAGTCATCAACTAGTGCGGGGGAAGGTCCTGGCGACGGCGACCACTGGGCCGGGCGGGGCAATGCGGCAAAGGCCGATGTTGCAGCAAAACACTCGGAATTCATTTCAGTGCTGTTGCCGATGATGACACCATCGGCTCAGTCCGGACTTCACACTTTACACGAAAAACCATAACCGGGTCACGGGTCTTTTCACCCTGCACTTGGTTGATTGATGCACTATTCTTTAAACAGCACTAGCTCTGGAGAAGTCTGCTATAGTTGCTCTGTCAAGTCAAGGAGTGAACATAATCCCTAGATCATTCCATCATCTTCCTTCAGTTCGATCTCCTGTCCCCATGGTCCTAGTGTGAAGGAAACCTATTCTATAATGAAACGAAGGGCTTCCCTGGGCCCTCTCAACGATGAACTATTCCGGTACACTTCCGAGGTATTGATATACGATATTTGTGCGTTGGACACCAGAACTTCCTCCTCAAGGCTGATGTCTTGCAAGCTGCAACAAAGAACACTTCCTGTCTAAACATCATCTTTGCGACGTTTGGCCCGGCCGTCATCCGACGCCAAAGCCTCTGTCAAAATCTCAAGAAGGTGGAGTTAACCGAATGTTCGTGATCGCGTGATTTCCATTCCCAAGCACGGTGGCCTGGACACTACGCTGTAGCCAGCGCCGGCGGCAACTTCAGACTATCTCCGTCTGCTGGTCACACGCAATAAGTGAGGGCGGGGTGCTCAAACATGGAGACTCCTGTTGGAAGTAAAGTCCTACGTGCAGTAGCATTGACTACAAATCGTCGAAGGTAGGAACGCCTCCCAAAATTAAAAGTCCCTCTCTTCTCGAGCCCTCTAATGTACTATCCGGCTCCTACAGCCAAGCCAACGTCCAGCGTAGACTTACCGCGGCGGCCACGGGGCAATGGTCACCGACAGCTCGTTCCAGATCCGTGATACTTCCCAGCCGGCGGGAGGCTCTTTGCCGTACAACTCGACCAAAGGGCAGCGCCAAGCCTCGGCCACGCGGTGGTCGGGCTGATAGAAGGTCGAGGTCAGGGTCCACTCGGCACGCTCGGGGCCCTTGATCTTGAATTGAAACCAGAATTCGCACTGGTGATTTAAAGCGTACTGGAGTTTCTGCAGGCGGGGCATCCGGCGCGCGGCATGGCCTGAGGCGATGAGGAGCCGATGGAAGTGCTCCGCTTCGAGAATATCACGCTCTATATCTCCCTCGCAGGGGTCGCAAAGCATGTACGTCTCGTCGAACTCGTACTCGTCGTAGTATTCTCGTTCGTGGGGAGATGGGTGGACGACCCACTGGCCTGTTCTTGGTGGCCACGATTTCCAGTGTGCATTACGAAAGGGGTCTGAAGTAGCGCGTACCCGATGGGATTCTAGGTGGCATCAAGCTTAACTCCAGTACCTCAAGCTGCGGCCACGAGAGACCTTTGCTCGCGGGTAACGGATGGGTTGGGCATCGAGAGGGAAGAGGAAGTCCGGATCGATGGGCAGTGAACCCAGGGTCAGTTTGGTCAGCGACAGGCTTAATTGGCGAAGATTCAAGGGCATGGTATCGGGTCGCGAGCCAACCACATCCAACGCCGGGAGTGCGTCTTTCCAGGGTTTCTCGTCGTCGTTGGACAAGCTAAACTCCTTCAAGGAGGGTGGAAGGAGCTTGAGACCGTCGGAAATCGCTAGTACAATGAGTCATTCTGATGTTTTTTTTTCTTTGCGGGAGACGAGGAGTGGTGGCGTCGGGGAGTCTTACCATGGCGACGTGCTTGAATGCTCTCTAATTGGTCAGGGCGGATATACTTATTCGGCCCCAACGACAGGGCGGACAGAGTAGGACAGTGCTGCGCGATTCGAATGGCGGCCCCGACCCAGATCTGATGATACTTCGGTCGTTCAGGGAAGGTAAGGCGGTCAATACAGCGTACATCTGGGAGCGATATCCCCAAAGCCCCATCCTTTTCTAAAATGGACGCTCGGTAGACAGGCACTGCCTCGGTTCGCCCATTCAGAAAATCGTACCTGAAAAGGCCCGCCTCCTCGCTTGCCAGGTAATTGGTTCGAAGCCCTCGGTACGGCCGCAGACCGTCAATTTCACATGGCGCCGAAGCCCAGCTTTCCAGTTGGCCAATGTCTCAAAGAGATCAAAAATCCCTGACTGAAAGGCCCGGTCGTTTTCATGCCGAGTTGGATTCTCGGGGCTATAGCCTTGCCTCTTGCGTGAGTGCCAGTCGGGCAAGCCCACTGGGACAATGATCTGATAATGAATCGTACGAATCCAGGACCGTCGAGCAAGCCCTAAGCCAGTGGTGATCCGCTGTAAGGTAGACAGCGATATTCGGAGGTTGTTCTGGGAGATTCGCCGCGGCGCTGGTCACGACCAGGTTCTGATAGAGTAACGGACCAAACGCCGTTCGCCACCGACGGCAGACAGCCATACATGGGATTCAAGAGCCGCCGTCCGCTTGTAGATCGTCCGCAATGATCAAAAGGAGCTCCAGGGGAAGAAAGGCAGCCATGTTGGTCTGTCTGTGGTTCTGTTTGTTATGCCGCGATAAGGAACAACTCTAGGCTAGGCCCTAACGGTGGGCTATGTAAGCTAGACTCCGTCGGAACTAACCTTGAATAAGCCTTACGGTTCCTGAACGGAAAGGGTCTTTGACCGACAGACAAGCTGCGTATGCCCCGGACTGTACTATTCTTGAACTATTATTCACAAGAAAGCCTCTGTTTGGTATTAGATGGACTAGCTGAGAGAAAAGGGCCAGCGGCCGGCCATGACTTCAGACCTCTGCCTCATGAATAAAAAGGTTGAGCAATGGTTCCCGTCCGAAGACCCTTTTACCAAAATTGGTAAGGCTAGTGACCCATCGGGCCGACTAGCCCTCTTTCCCATCCTTAGCCTAGGTAGAAACAGATTTTCCCAAAAAGCCGCCCTTCTACTCTTGTACCCCCACACATCGGGTTACCTCGATAGCATCCTAAAGCACACAATTCGCGTTAGAAAGCTCATCTCCCAATTTATTGCGTCGCAGACACCGACTTACCCTGGTGGTTTCCGGCTTCACGAGTTTGCTCTCGTAGACGAGGTTCGGGTTGCCGATTATGTCGAACTGAGGGGTCGCATCTGCGCCGAGGAAGGACTGCACGGTCCTGTCCGGAATGCCCTCTTTGTTGTACGTCCGTTCAGGGCCCTTCTTAGCCGCCTCGCGCTTCTGCTCCACCGTACTGCGGACATATTCTAAATAAGGCGGGTTGCCGGGGTACAGCACGTTGTCCGCGATCACGACCGACACCTCTGGCACAATCTTGCCCAGCTGCTCACAGAGCTTCAAGTCGGTGGTGTAGGCAGGCTTGTAGTGGTCAATGAATAGCACCTCCACCTGCTTGACCTCGCCGCTGCTGAACAGCTTGTGCAGGGACAGATCACTGCGACCGACTATAATGCGCACAAAGTCGCGCAGACCGGCAAGGTCCAGTAGCATGTTCGCAATGGCGGCATACTCGGGGTTCAGTTCGAGACTATAGTATCGCTTTCCACCGGCCCGGCGCACGGCATCGCCGAAGAGAATGGCAGAGTACCCGACATAACCACCGAGCTCAATCATGACCTCAGGCTTGCGCTCGGCGATGATCTCTGTGATAAACTTGCCCTTGTCCGGTCCGATGTTCATGAAGTGATATGTCTGCGCAAACTCGTCGATAAGATCTAAGACTTTCTGGGGGTTGCCCTGGATCTCGTCTCGGTTGGGCTGATCATAGATGAAGTGCAGCAACTTGAACTCTCGACCATCCTCGCGCTACAATGAAGCTTGGAGTCAGTTCACACGACGTCTCAAAGGGCCTTGGAGCCTTGGAGGGGCTTACCGATCGGTCCCCGGGACGAGGATGAAGCGGCGCTACGTAGGTGTTGTCGCTCATGGTCAGTGATGGATGTCGCGAGGTTGAAAGAGATCTAATCAATTGATATTTTGCGGTAGTAACAAGATTAGGATGCGAGCTTGGAGATCCAAACCGAGGGTATCCAGCGAATTTAATGGCACGAGAACCCCCGCGCCTTATCGCATTCGGGATTAGGCTCGGTCTTATCCTCGGTCTTATACTCGACATTTTATATGGCAGAAGATAAATCCGACAACGTCACAGCCAGCTGAAAGCTCGGAGGACGATAAGGACCACGTAAACCTCAAGAATGAGCCTTTTAGGCGGGATATGACAACATGGGCGACTCACTAGGGGCAAAAGTCCCCCCACTATGATGCCGTCCCAAGTGCCGCTCACTCGGAGATGCTTACTCCATCGGTGCCCCTCGTGGCTCTCGGATCCCGGGTAATCCGAGGCAGCGTGAGGATGGTTCATCATCATCAGAGATTGATAAGCAAGTCGGAAATGCATTTCCTCACTGTGACTCAGTGCTGAGCTGATAATCGGCCATTGTTCGCCACAAGAGGGATCACTGGGGTTTGAGTTGGGTGTGCTTCTCATCTAGAAGCGCAAGCAAGCAGTAGTAGACAAGGGCGAAAGCGGTGAGTGCTGCTGGCCTTGGACGCTCCGAGTACGGAGTATCAAGGCTGCAGTGGTGCTGTGTCAGGCTGTACTGTACTTTTCGTACTGTACCTTAAGTATGAGTAGCAGCCACGCTGCCACCTACACCTTAGTGCTTCTAGTGTTAATTGCGTTGCTCCACCCTGAAGTGATCGGATACCCGAGACGAACTATCGATCGAGTATCACTACTGGCACTAGTTCAGAGACGTCACTATACGTGGGAAATAAAAGTTCTAGGCTCTTACGAGTGAATTACTTAAGGAATGGGTCATGCACATTCCTTTGCCTTGAATTTGGCTGCAGGTGGCCATGTTTCGGCTCATCAGGCAGGGTGGCCTGCCTCACTCTGCTTCCCGCCGCATATACTTTGCACGGACGGGTGCTTCAGCCTGCATGGTTGTTTCAAGTGAAGGCAGTTACATTTCACCTCCAAGCCTTGTCGCACGTCTATCTTCTCTTGCTTTATACGATCCTTGACTGTCGCCTCGATTTATTGACAATAACCGCCACCCTGATACTTATGATGCATCATTCTGCTTCACCCTGCCCTTTAGCCTGGGCAACACGCCGAAGGATCGTGATTCGTGCGATAGCCGCCAATCCTTGTCAAAAGCAAAGCTGAAATCCAGCCCCTCGGCCATCGTCAGAATGAGGGGTCATCATCCGGTTTGCCGACGAAAATCATACGGTTGTAATCTTGTGGGAGGTCTTAAATGTCTTTCAGTTCGACGTGTGGTCGAAATCGACGATGCTCGTTCTCCTTGGCGGCCCAGCCACCTCACCCAACTCAAACAACGCAGCAGTTGATTTCATCTTCAGGTACGCATCACCCACTGAGCTGCATCGCTGACGTGGTCGCCTTGCAGCAGCATTCCCAAGCTGCTGGTCGTGCTACCCGCAACCGCAACCCTCCCTTCCTCCTACCATGAGACAATAAATATTCATTGCCCGGCATTGATTCTGTGCAACAATGTCCCCTGCAAATCATCATCTGACATTATGATGGCTATACATACAGTACGGCGAGCATTTAGCTCGATTCCTCAAGAAAGCACTCTGCAATTCGCTCGCGACATGCTGCAGATCCATGTACTTTTCCATCTGGTGCGGATTGCGGTCTCGATCGCCCTGCTGCCGTTGGACAACACCATTCTTTTGGCCTCCTACGCTGCCGGGTATGTCCCCGGCGACATTTCACAGTCCTCCAGCCACGAACGCCGACGACAGAAAATCCTACGAGATGAGCACTTCCGTCCGAAAACAGTTCTCGTTACTGGGGTCAATACCCCGCATGGGCTAGCGGTGGCCCGGGGTTGGTACTACGCGGGCCACCGGGTGGTCGGGGCCAACATCACGGAGGGCGCCATCGCCCCTGGCGAAGGCATGTCCAAGACGCTGGCGGCCTTCTACCACGTGCCCAAGACCAAGTACAGCGCACGGCTGCTCGACATTATCCAGAAAGAGAAAGTGGAGATCTGGATCCCGTGCGCGAACGAGGCCTCGGCCCTCGACGATGCATCGGCCAAACAGGTGATCGAGAGCCGGACCCATTGCAAATGCATCACCCTGGACACTGGCCTGGCCGAAATTTTCGGCAACCAAGACACTTTCACCCACTATCTCATTGAGAAGCGGTTACCCGTGGTGGAGAAACACCAGGTTCTGTCGCGAGATGCCATTCACAAGATCTTGCATCGGTCGCCGTCCAAAATTTATCAGATGCGGAGGCCCTCTCCCACTCCAGGAGATGATAAGGTCGTCGTGCTGCCGAAGCGAACCCTCAGTATGACCTATTCCGAGGTCAGCGAGATCCAGATCTCTAAGGAACGGCCATGGATACTACAACAACAGACACGCTTGGGCCGGTTTGTTGCAGAGGTCATGGTCATCTGCGGCCATGTCAAGGCCATCAAGATCTATCCCGGCGACAAGGAGTCCGATTGGGGCCACTCGCGTCTGGACAAGGGGCTCGCTAGGGCGACGCATGCGCTCATGGAACGCTTCGCACTTCAAGGGGGACCCCGACTGACCGGTCACCTACGCCTCCAACTGACGGTGGACGAGGAATTTGCCGACAATATTCTCCGCTATGCAATTCATATCGAGGGCTGCGAGCAAGGCGCCGCGGCTGTGAAATTCCTTCTGCAAGATAAGCACGACTCGATGGTCGCGGAGTACTTGGATGTGCTCGCGCCACACATCAATGGCGTTTCTGGCGAAGTGCCCGCTATAGACATCGCATCTATCGATACGGAAATTTCAACCCCGCCTCCTGAGAACTTCAGTCTCTGCCAGATGGTCCGCAGTTGCGATGTTCGGAGGGTGCTTCCGGCACTGTACCCTGCCATCGAGCAGATCGATCGCAGTCTTCACGAAGGCAGCAGGCTGCTTCTGTTCTGGAAGAACTGGCGGTTCTCCGCCATTGACCCATTGCCGTGGTGGTGGCATACGCATATCTACCAGCCCCTGAAAGAGATCGAAATGATCATGAACACGACCAACGGCAAGTCGGCATAATGTGCTTGCCTCGTTGTCGATTTAATGACTTTCCTTTGTTTGCCAACTATTTTCTGGTGTATTTTCATCCACTTACTCCACTTTTTTCGTACTCCTCTCCTTTCCCCTTTTCCAAGTTAGCGAAGGAAGTTATGACGGATCACAGCACATGAGACGATGCTGTTGTATAGGGAGCATCGAGTGGCGTCTTTTGAATATATTAGCTGTTTGCAGATCGGCCGCTTTCGAGACGACCGAGGTAATGAAACAATTTGAGTTGAGACATTCTGATTCGAGCGTGATATCGCGGGTGCTTGAAACAATAAAGACTGTAGATAGATCTTCGACGGTGGAGCCGGCCAAGCGTGGATGCGTGGTGGCCGTGTCTCCATGAATAGCAACCCCTGTTTCCATGAGAACAAGCTACTTTGGCGCTATCATGAAACGGCTAGCGACTAGGGTCAATATACAGAGCAGAAGGATAGCATAGTTTCACCACCATGAATCACCTTTGGTCGGCTGTAAAGCTCTCAAGCGAGGCTCACTGCCCTGCCAGCATGATAGAGCATAAAATCGGACCTGCAAATGAGCGACGGGCAGACTTGATGGTCTGCGAGCACCTGACATGTTGACACATCATATGTGTGCAGAGGCACAGCCAGCGGCCGACGGTCCGCCTACCCACTTACGCAATAAACATTGCAGTGTTCGATCTTCATGATTGTCAATCCCGGTCTACCCTTTAATTATCGCTGAACAAGTGGTCATCATCACTTAAATTGGGCTGTGTCGGGTAAGTTGAGGATGAGGATACGTCAGCCTTGGGTGCAGGGTCTCCGATTGGGCCACAAAACTAGTATCTGAACTTGGGGATCGATACGGGCAAGACACAATGCTGTAACAGCATCTCAAGTGACATCGAACATTGGCGATGTCCTGTACAAGTAAGCAACCTTGATCTTGATCTTGCTTTTGATTGTGCATTTCACCAGGCCATGTGCTCTGGGAAATCTATTTTGGGCCGAGATCACGGGCAGGCTAAACCGCTAAACCCGGAATGGTAGGACTACGGTACGGTACGGTACCGCCGATGAATGAAATGAATTCCATGAATGAAGTGTATTATTATTGTTATGACAGCCACATTCACGAGCTTCCACCCCTCCCCCCCTCCAACTTTCAATCCAAAGTCTCCTTCTCTTCTACGCCCTCTACTCCTGTTCATTCTTCACTCATATCTCCAAACTCGTGGGCTTTTCTGAGTTGTTCTTGCGCTTGTTTTCCTGTTGCCGGTTGAAGATTATTCCCCCGGGGGTGATTGCGTCGCTGGTTTCCCCTCCCACCATTCTGCCTGCCTGCGCCTCTACTTTAGCGTCCGCGCGGCACGATCGGGTTGCCCCGTTCACCTTCGCCGTCGGTTTTTCGACTGCGGCTGCCACTGCAACAAACAATCGCATTGCATTTCGCCCTCTCGTCCCCCCTCGTCGCTGACGGTTTGTGGCTATCTTCTTGCTATTCTACTCGGAATTTGGCTCCTGGCGGTTGGAATTTCTTGAATTTACTTCGATCAATCCGCCAGCTCCATCGTATTGCGGTTTCGCTTCCTAGCGTAGAGGAAAAGCGCTTTTCATCGTCATCAGGCACCACTCCTCCGTCATCGACCACCTCACCTTCAGAAACATGAAAGTCGCACGACCTTCCTTGAACCCGGGGCGGACGAAAAACATCATCCATGGCTTCCAGGGGTTTATCATCTTCCTGGCGTGGGCCTTGACCATCGCCGTGTTTACCAAGGGCGGTGGCATTGATGGGAGGTCGGCCTGGTACTGGGCCTTGGTGAGTGGCATTCATCTGTTTGTGCATGTCGCGAGTATTGGAGTCTAATTGGGCCCTTCAATAGTGCTGGTTCAGTATCCCCGGTCTCATCTACTTGGTGGCCGTCCCGATGTGGCCGCGCGCACGTCGGTTCGGAAACGTTTACGCCTTCGCGACCGTCGACTGCCTGTACGCCATCTTATGGTTCAGCGCCTGGGTCTGTGTCGCCAGCTATGTGGCGCAGGGGAAGAGCGAGGGCAAGAGCGACAGCTCGACAGACAGCGACAGCAAGTCCAGCAAGCGGGCCAGCGACAGCAAGAAGAGCGGCTGCGACAACTGGGCCTACGGCAACGCCAGCAAGTGCAAGATCAGCACCGCCACCGTGATCTTGGGTGTCATCGTATTGTGAGTTTGCCTCTGACTGTCTTCGGCGGGTGCTAACATATGATCTTCTACCAGCTTACTCTTCGTGGTCACCGCGTTCATGTCCTTCCGCAACGTCGTGCACTTCCGCCGCACCGGCACCCTGCCCGACGCCGTCTCCGACCCGACCTTCGCCGCCCACACCAAGGCCGCATTCTCGTCCAACCCGGCGCACGATTTTGAGGAGGAGGAGGACGACTTCCGGTCGCGCGCGGGAATGGGGTCGTCGGTCCGCGGCGATCGCGATGAGGACTACGCCCTGCTGCATCAGAGCGAGGCGGATGACTTCGGCAGCACCACGCACGGCCGCTCTGCGGCGTCGGGCGCCTACGACCCGACCGTCTCGACGGGCAGCGTGCTGCACGACTACAACACCAGCTACGGCGGTGCGCACGGTCAGCACTACGGCGGACCGTCGGAGTATGAGCCGAGTCATAGCGGCTACGGCCACTAGAGGTGGTGACGGAGAGGAGATGCGGTGAAGAGAAAAACCAAGACCAACCTTCGAAACGAACCATGGGGCGGTGTTTGCGGGCGCACATTTTGATTGTCATTTTGGACCGATTGTATCTCTGGCTTGTGACTTGTTGACTTGTAAAACTGACGACTGTATGCTGTGATGGTGATTTGGCTGGGGAACGGCCTGTAATGGCCGCGCGGGCATACCTGACGACTTATTGGATGACGAATGTATTTTGGTTCTACATAGATGGCATTACATACTTACCTGCAGTGGAGTGAATTAAGCCAATGTAATCAAATTCGACGCCGTGAATAGGATGACACATCTGATCCGAAGGATTCCCCGAAGGTAGGGATTCTGCCACCGCCTTTGCTTGGAAGGCTCACTCACCATCAGCGATCTGGACAGCTCATCTTTTGTTTATCTGTTCATCTCTCCTCACCCAGGACGTCCAGCTGGAGCGCACTATTTTGCCTAGATCTTACTTGGTGTGTCTGTAAATCTGCCTCGTGAGTTCGCGTCGAAATCCTATCTTAAAACCTCAAACACTAACCTCTCCGCACAGACCATTCATCCAGCTCCATTATCCAGCAGCTACAGCAGCTACACTGACTGTACGAACGGATTCCAAGACCAACGAATCGAACAATAATATACCCAAACACACACAAATCCACAACATAACACAACCCAGCAAACAACATCCACCTCTACCATAACACCACTTACCAAATCAAAACTACTACACCTGCACCACCACCACCACCACCACCACCAAACACCACCAAACACCCCGACAACCTCCAAAATGTCCAGCATAGACATCTACAACCCCCTCCCGCTGCACCTCGACCCCACCTCCAAAGCCATCACCCTCGGCCACCCCACCACCTCCACCTCCACCACCGCCCTAGCCACCGAACTCACAGCCCTGAACACCCTGCACCGCGCCCTCCTCGAAACCCCCTCCCAAATCCCCCCGCCCCCACTCCCCATCAACCCCAAGCGCAGCGCCCAGATCACCAAGCTCCGGGACAGCGCCAACGCGGCATACCGGAAGAACCACTTCGCGGACGCCGCGCGGCTGTACGGCTACGCGATCGACATGGCGCTCGGCCGGCCGGGCTGGGAGCCCGTGACGCTGGCGCGCGACGAGCTGGCGGCGCTGTACGCGAACCGCGCGCAGGCGTGGATGAGCCAGCGGCTGTGGGTCGAGGGGCTGGTGGATGCGAGGTGTAGTGTCGAGAGTAAGGCTGTGGGCAATGTGAAGGCGTGGTGGCGCGGGGGCAAGTGCTTGGTGGAGATGGGGCGGTGGGAGGAGGCGGGACGGTTTGTGGAACGGGGGTTGGAGATTGAGGGGCGGGAGAGTGAGGGGGGGAAGGAGTTGGTCGGGTTGCTGGGGGAGGTGAGGGAGGGGTTGGAGAGGAAGAACAGGGTTTGAGGTTGTTCTGGGTTGGTGGGGGGGAAACGAGGGAGATGGGGAGGGGAGGGTGTTTTGTTTTGTGCTTGGGGTTGAGTGTTGAATGGAGGTCTGAGGAAATGGTCTGTCTGGGCTGGGCTGAGGGTCGGCCGATGATGCATTGGATGGATGATGCTTATGGTATGGTCATGGGATGATGTTTGCGCTTGCGCTGATATCTCGTGGCATGGTTATGTGTGATGTACTACTCTGCTTGCTGTATTTTTGTGGTTCTGTTCTGTTGCGTTGCGTTGCTCCTGGCGTTTTACGGTTGATAGTCTGGGGTTCGCTCTATGGTACAGTACAACACATGCGTATCTTGATGGACGCTGTCTTGTTTGCATTGCAGCCTTCCCTTCATTTCGTTTCTTTGGGGCAGTATCTTGTGGAGTGACATCGATGCAGTAGCTGTAGCTCTGGGTATAGGATGAGTTTATATGGTGTAAATTGCGAAAGCTTACTCTAAATGATGTAGGCCGGGGCCTAACATCAATCCCAAAAACGGAACCCCCAGTGCTCTGGCGCAACACAGCTAGGCCGATATAGGCAAAGCGCACCCGACAACATCAACGTCGCTGCTCCACGAAAAATTGGAGATGCGTGCGGAGCAGCAAGCTAAAAAGGAATCAAAAATTTACTCCGATGCGGGGAATCGAACCCCGAGCTGCTGTGTGAGAGACAGCGATGTTAGCCATTACACCACATCGGACGGTTGTTGAATGGACTCACTTGTTACAAAATATATCGTCATTGTGCTGTCAGAATGTGGTTTCAAATCAACTCTAACATCCCGGGCGCCATGGTTCGGCTCGAGACCGGAACCTACTTGCTTCATGCTTTGGTCGGTGGTGTACAGTGATGGGTGGAAGGGGTGAACTATACGTATTGATATTGTACTGGACATAGACATTGTTCTATGACTTGCGAATATGGGGATAGGGTATGGTGGATACATATTTCTATGCTGTGCGGGAAGTTTAGATGCTCGGATAGAATATGTGTCTACACTTTCGACGTCACGTAGCCCTGATTCTAGAAAAGATCGACCATATTATTGGAAGTACGTACATACAGTCTTGATCAAGGAATTGGAGATCAATGCCCCACTATCATCTCCGAAATACAGCCCGAACCTCACTTGGCACCAGATGGGTCTCCTGTGGGATGTTGCTGGCAGAAACCGGCACAAAGACAGAGTACAGAGCGGGTTAAAATAGCCTTTGAGAAAACCCTTTTACCAACCTTTACTTATAGAATAGTCTAATTAGCGGTCTGGATTTGGATCATCAATACTGTGGCCTCCGGTGCTGCTTATTCCTAGTAATCTCTGGCCAGATCTAGAAACCCAGTCAGTCCCATATATCAACAGCTACCCTGGAAATTCCAATCCCCCGACATAACCGCCGAGTTCCTGTTTTGCGAGAACGAGCACGATGGCTGGTAAAGATTAGGACTCACTACTTGCACCGAGAGTTTGACTCGGGATGGCAATAATTAGTGAGCCTTTTCTTAGCCCATGGACCACAGGGTCTATCAGATTATAAGTACTAGTTAATGCTAATAGATCCTAGAAGATACTACTTGCTTCCTGATCTTGTCGACACCGTGATCTACAGCACCGTTCTTTTCAGCATCCTGGTTCTTACCAGTTTTTATTAGCTCGATGATGGACGGATTCTGGTAAGTCGATAATGCTAAATGTGTTTGATAGTCTCTCTGTCTGCCTGGTATGCCCTAGATATATTTAGTATGTCCCAGATACTCCTACTTACCGATACAACTTACCGTTCCCGATAATCTCAGTCACTGCTATACCATGACGTTGCATTTGCATAGCGTGCTCCTCCGCAGTGATGTGTCCTACGACGGACGGATGCGACTCGTACGCCTGCAGTCACGCTTGGAGGACTGCTCGTAGGCAATTGTAAAAGATATGACCACACTCACAACTCAAGCCAGAAAGGACTTCATTCGTCTTATCCATATGAACATACAGTAGAGGTTCCCTGATCATCCATACAAATCGCGCTCTCATCAACCACGTCGTTTGAGGGAGGTGAGATGAGAGTCAGGCGGTTTCGGCCCGCTTAAATAGTGTGACAGAGGTGTAGAACGAGGGCGCGGCTGAGCCAACATGCATTTGCCTGTGCCAGGACGTATCTGGACAAGCTGATCAGTCTGTTCAAATCTGACAGAAATGGAGACGCGTCAGTTTGCGCGACCTCAAATCTGGCCTTGGCTGGTAGACTATTCAGGGGCGCATCTTTATACAAAAACATGCGGTCTTGGGGCTGGGTTTACCGCGGGTTGCCGGGTTTGGTGGTCTATCCAAAAGGATTGGCCAGGTCCTCCATACTCTCTCGTGGTTGTCTTGCGTTTGTTCTTTGCAAACATTGCTCTTGTCCGCGGTCCACTAGACGTAGAGTCTCGAGACGGTAGCTTCTCAGAGTCTGGATCAGATCCTGCAACTGACTCTGAGAGTTCGCCGTTCTCAAGGAGTTTCTCGAGTGTCGAGTTCTCAGCCACTTTGTCGTAGCAAAGAACGCGATCTTCTTTGCAGCCTATCCAGGCTGGTGCGCATAAGTAAGCACATCAGAATTGACATGCACTCTGTCTGCTGCTGTAAACAAAGCGGACTATGAGGGAAGCTCAGGAGACCCAGGTAGCGCTGAGTGCCCGCGTTTAGTATTGTTGTTATTCGCAGATTATTCGAGTTAGTCTGCCACGAGCCCGCCGTCTGTTGGAATATTCATCCCCACATGCAATTGCGTATCCAAGCGTGGTGGCGTATTTTCTCTCTCAACCCAGAAAGGCCAGAAGCAGGAGGAGTGAGCCCGGTGCTTCGTTTTCCACCTGAGATGGTGCATCCAGAGTTATTGGACGTTCCAGAGCACAGTGTTCGTCCTGGTCCTTGTTCCATCTCTCATAGTCACTTGGCATGGTGTTGATCCATTCATTGATTGACTTCCTGCTAGCGCCGTCTTCGAATCCCGACAGGGACAACGTCCCCTTCTTTTTCGATGACCGCTCAAGCTCCTCATCCGAATCGTCTCTTGCTCGGCTTGAACGCTTTAGTTTATTCAGGGGCGGTTCCTTGCTTTACACGACAAAACTCTTTCTATCGTTGCTCTGGTCCATATCCACAAGGACTGCCTGCCACGTGCCTTCGTCATCGACAACAATGATATCTTCGCCATCCTTCCAAATTATGTCATCTGTGGCGGCGTCATAGCCGATGGTGCCGGCTAGGCGTGCCTGGAAACGTTCAAAGGACATCTGGCTGGAGTCCAGACGATCTTTAGCTGATGGTGATGATACATCAAACTGATGTAGCAGCTGCCGCGTCGCGCGTCCCGTGTTGTCGTGTGTCACAGCCAGTAATCGGTTACGGAGCTCTCGTCTCACACCTATTCCCATCACAGCACCGAGTTCTTGGCCTAGGCCTGGATCTTTTCCCCAGGGACTTGTTCCACTGACGGGACTTGCCGGTGTCAAAATCTCGGGATCCCATAATGTCCTTTATGCCAAACCACTTTTCCCGATGGAGGAGCTAGTCCCGCATGAGCGCCATGAAGCATTCATCTCGGTATCCCCTGATAAGAGGTAACCAGCGAGAGTATGAGGTGGAAGTGATACAAGAAGTCAGAGTACACCGAGGTAGCTAGAGTTGGATACTCTGCAGCCGTTGGTAAGGGAGAAAGAACTGAGGTCTCGGCAAGGTCTTCGTCGGATAACCTGAGGGCTTCACGAATGTGAGAAGTTTTCGTCGGCTGACGGCTCACTTGAAAATATCGTCGTGGAACACTCGCCTCTGATAAAAAGGTGCAATCATTAACATGGTAGAAGGGACGGACCTGTGTACTGGAGTATTTTGCCACGAGATACTTAGACCTCATATGAGAGGAATTTTTGATATGCGCCTCTTCGGTGTCGGGATGATCGGCCATGGTGATTACACAGCGTCTCCAATTTTGCGATCCCACGCAGTACGGCACGACGCTGGGGTCGGTTCATGCCAATTCGCCGGCGGAGGATTTGGCTTTGTAATCTCTTGGATTCTCTCGCATCGTGGCTCCGTTCGGCTGCGCGGTAGGCAGCAATGAGCTCCGACTCATTTTGCACGAGGTCCCTCGCGTCTGACTCCTCCAACCGACACTCAATGTTTCTATGCACGTTGGGGATCTCATCCAGTATTATGTTCCCAAACCACTGGGATTTCTCCTTGTGCGCAATGTAAGGTATGCAATGGAGGATGTCGCCGACTCTGGCAGTTCAACTGAAGTTTTTCGTTCCATTGAAGTCCTTCGTGAAGAACGGTAGACCTGACCCCATTGCTTCAACATGATCTCGGTTTTCTCTCATCATAGCACAGATTGCAAGATCCTAGGCGCCCGCGGGTTCTATAGCTTTCACGGTAGCTGCGGAATTCGCAGTATCATAGCACATGCGTGCGGCCCTTCAAAAGGAAGACCTGGGCTCGCTGACTCCCTCATTGTCTCTCGAGAAGCTGGAGCCAGGGAACAACACACTCGCGAGAGCTGAAGTCTATCAGAAGCAATACTCAACTGGCTCGGTGGGCCTCATTTCTGTCCCGTTCACTCTTCCTCCGGCTGATAGTCCTCCTGTAGTTAATTCATTCTTGGTGTTCTTGTGTATTGCCGTGGTGGTCCTATGGCTTCCAAATACTCTACCAACCATCACATCCAAGTCTCTACCGCGTTCCAAAGGAGTCGACTATGGAGGTTTGGCTTCTATAGACGCTGCTGTCGTCCCATCCTCGAGTTTTGCTTGGATAATGTTGTCGGGATAGCCCGTCTATTTACCCGGAAGACTTTTGTGAATTGCTTGAGCTTCGGTTTAACCACGTGTTCATCAGTAATAGCCAAGTGCATGGTCGTAGTGTAAAGTGGCATGGAACATGCAGGGATGGGCTGCAACTGTCCGTACAGACGATACTTGCGACTATTTGCGTTTGTCCTTGATGAAGGAGTCCGAATTATGGAGTCGTTTGGGGTAGTAACGACTTCGGGATCAGTACTCCTTGACCCCCGTGAGCAAAGGCCAAGAACGGCCGTCTTGCCGGGGTGACAGAGACGTCAGCAGTGAGACTCTAGGCAGCATCTTGGCACTGACGCAGTCATCATTGTGCGTAGGCACACAAACTCGCTTGAGTGAAAGCTGGCGCTTCGGTATGGATATTGGCCGGTCATTGCCAGATAAGCTGAATCAGACATTCCGTGTGAGGTTGGCATTGTCTCTGAAAAGGGGCCACTGTGAGAGCTCTGTTGTTGGAATCGACTCTGACTCCTCCTCGCGGTATGTGGGAAAGCAACTTGAAGTTTAGTTAGCGAGTTCTGCATAACAGAAAGTCACTTAAATCATCCTCCCAATGCAGTGTCAAAAATAGTAATGGTTCTTTCGGACCTCGATAACCCGCACGGGTTTGCAGATGGAGTCCCCAGTGTGGCGAGCAGCACATTGGGTAAACCAAGATAGATGCTAGACTGTAGCTAGCCTCTATTATCGCAGTGAGTTATACCAGAGCGACGAAGATTATCCTTATTTCGATGCCAAAGAGACACGTGCTGGAGGACTAACTGATGGTGATGGCTATTTTGATGATGATGGCGGTGATTTCACCGACTTCATAAAGACGTTAGAAGCGACGCGCGGTTATCTGGTGAGGTGAACCCTACCGCAAACTCATAATAGAGCTTCTTGTGGAGAGCAAAGGTGTCAAGATTCTGATCACTAGGCACCCTGGCCGGCGCAGAAAAGGAGTGGCCGGCGCATTGAGTTGCGGAGCTCGAACCGATGAAACTGCTTAGCAAGTACATCGAGATTTACCCTTGACTATGTATATCTGACATGATATCGAATTCCCAACATATCATCTGTGATATTTGTTGGACCCGAAATCTCTCGACATTTTCTAATCAAGACCGTCACTGCTGTTGTTTTAGTTTCTTCGATGCCAAGGTTAAAGTCGTGGAGAAGAGGAAGGACAGCATTTGTAGCAGCGCCTTGCTCCTGGAATTCGACAATCGTCAGGGAGTATTCGAACGTTCTGTCTGGCCACTTGCAATCAGTGCAGCATCCTTGCCAAGCGTCAGTGAAGAAGATCGTGTGGCGACAGACCGTGCGTCGCGAGGCTGTGCAGGGTGTGGCGGCGAGCTGGCCACGACTGGTGATTAGTAGGGCACTGATATAGCTGTCGCGGGATCTTCTGAATTGTGGATGCGAGTACGTTAGCAGAGGTGTAGCCGGGCAGTTGCTGGGGCGAGGGCGACTGACCTGTGATGGTTTGATTCTGCCGGCGTGCTTCCAGAATTCAAAAACAGGGTATGCACATGCGGCTCTCTGCTGGGCGTTCTTGTACATCTTGTTTTAGGCACGGTGGCCCAGGGCCGTGAAACGCACTTTCACCCCTCGATTGTCGCTAGTGCGGCGGTTCGACTTCGGCTTGGTGTATGCATCCACAACCTGGAAGATCTGATGGGAATAGGGCCCAGAGATTGCGACGGTCACTGGATCATACAGAACACGGAAGGGGACACTGGCAGGCACAGTGGGGACTGAGTAGGAAACAGTAGAGGAATAATTGGAGGGAGCATAGGGTCCCTCTGCCTAGGGATATCCCAAACTGGCTGTCAGAGTCCTCCTATGGTAGCTTTCCCCCTCGTAGACAGGTGCGTCTTGCCTCTAATCCATGCATTTTCCAAGATCTGTCGCAGGAATGCTCTCGTTTGTGGCGTCAACCCAGTCTAGGCGAGAGAGTGACGGATCCCAGATAGTTGACTGATGCTCCGAGTTCGAATCAAAATACCCAAAGAGGCTGCATGTGCTCGAAAGCCAGAGATTGTACCGCTCTCCACGGCAGGAGAACTGATTCAGGTGGAAGAGAACTCATTACCGAGTACCCTAGTGGTACCGGAATGATTTGATCCTCTCCATCTGTGTAATTCTCCCCACCCAGTCAGGACCCGCTGGCTGGGTGTGCCGGCAGGAGGCGGGGGAAGTCCAGGCATTATAGGCCCGGGGACAGCGAGGGCTGCCACAGTATTTGTCATAGTGAACTGAATTGCCGAACACGACCTCCGCGGGCCCAAGTAACGGTTCGCGGGGGAAGGACGGCGGTAGGGGCAACGGCGTCGGCGGGCGCATTAGTGGCGGCGGTCGCGGTGGCGCTGTTGGTTTAAGATACAATGCGGCGGCAGGCACTAGGCGCGCAAAAAGAGACATAGCCAGCTGGTCTCGCAACGGGTTCGCTGCTTATGAGAAGATGACAGTCGGGTGAAGCTGGTGTCATCAACTGCAGAGTCGCACTTAGTACTAGGCGAGCACCGGCCATATCTCTGGCTTAAAAGCCTTGGTTGCTTTGTCAACCATGAGCATAGAGGCATCCACTATATAGTGAGCACTGGCTGGCCGGCCGTAAAGAGCATAAGGAACTATTATATGAGCCCGGTGTAGGGTGTTCTCTCGCAGCGCTTTGGTGGCAGTACGGAAGTTTTTCTTAATGCTTTTCTTGTCCATATCCTCGCCGCGCATGAACTGCGCAAAGATGTCGCGGAAAGCTTGGTTTTTTGTTGGCATCTCTTTGGGGAACGACGCACTGGGCATAACTCCAGCCATCTCCAGTATACGGTAGCCAAGGCTGGGGGTTATGTGCCGCACTCAGAGGTCGGAGGTTTCTGGGGGCCGCGTAGTCTACAGTTGGTAGAATTTTCGCACCGTAGCAATAAGACTGATCTCGTCAATAAGCGAATCTTCCGCATCGGAAATGTCTCCTGTTGCGCGACATTGTTACGGTACGCCTGGAGCAACGTACCAAACTCGTCCGAGACATCGAAACCACGCAAGTAAAGCTTAGTGCTGTATGAGGCACAGTAGCCAAACACTTGGATACACTGTCTGGCCACTGAAAATCCGCGCTTAAGTTACGTCAACAGTCCGGAAGGCAGGTGGCGTCACGAAAAATGGTGTGTCAGGCATTTATGCAAGTTGTGTCCGCGTGATGCCACGGCTGGCGGTCAAAAGAGCGCAAATGTAGCTATCACGGCCACTCTTGAACTGCAGGAAGAAATCAGTCAATAGACGGGGAAAGGTAATGATAGTAGAGAGCGGGTGGGGGAGTTATTGACATGCCTGGGCGTGATTCTGTTGGCTCTTTTCCATAAACCATAAGCGGGAAATGTGAATGCGCTGCGCTACTGGGGTTTACGGCAGAGTTCCCAAAGGGCTCGATGGACGACAACATAGCGGTGGTCCGGTTTCGCAGGGTCAGTATATTCCCCGGTGATGTGGCAACAGTAAGAGGGTCATGGGGGTGACGGACTGGGAAGGCGAATAATTGAATTTTGCTTAGGATCAAAATTAATTACCTCTGGTTTGATACCGGGGATTGGGTCATTGGGATCGGGCCCGGTCAAAGTCGCTGTGTCGTCGTCGTTCGCGGCGACTTTTCTCTTCTTTCCTGCCATGGGTGAATGGAAATGATCAACTTCGGGGGAGCGCTCGACTTCCGGGGAGATTGATTTGAGGTCCAAGTCATAAATTGAATCAAAGTCTGAACCCGGGTCACTATCTGTTTCTGGGCAGAGACCAGGTAGTCCGTGTTCGTCCAGTTCCTTGTTGGTTTCTTCCAGATCTATGTTTTTGCTTTCATCGTTTGGCGTAATTCTTGCTTGCAGGAGTGACCTTCGGCCACTCGACTAGCTGGCTGATATATGGGTGTAAGATAACTTCAATTCATTTATTCAATGAATGAGTTCGGTTCCATTCCCCCCGTTCTTTTAGATGCAATTCAATCCAATCTCTTAGTGCCACGCTCATTCGACCAGTTGCATGTAGTCCAGGCCGAAGTATGTTTCGATGTCCTGCTTGGGCATGTTCGCCACCACACGGGTCTCCGAGGCACCTTGTCGGCGTACCGATAAAGGGTGAAAATCTCTCGACGCAGCCAGGCGGCCTCGCATTTCGTAAGACCTTTCTCCATCTTGTCCAGAGATAGGTCAATGTCTAGGCCGTGTAAGTGAGCTCAGGCGGACACAAACCTTGGGTCTGTTGGTAATCACCTTAAAGACGCAGAAGGGCCAGCCCTAATAAGCAGCACCCTTTCCGCTACCTGAGCTGAAGAAGGGGTGTCACGTCCCGCGAGCTGTGCACCGAAGGTAGCACTTCTCCGATGATCACCAGATCAGCAGCCCCTAAACTCAGAAGGAACTTTCTGACCGGCTCCGGATGTTCCTTCATCAGACTGCAGAGTCGGGGCGAGGTCCGCTCCGGAGCTTGAGATATTGAACTGAACTCTGACCGGTAAGAGCCTCAATGGCCGCCCGGACTCGATCGCATTCCTTTGGAAACATGTCCAGGACAGATTTTTTCACCAGGTAAAGAGGTTGGTGATACGGTAAACTGGGGAATACTCGGTATCGCGACTCCCGTAACCCTCACTCGCTGTTGTGCGACCCTCCCATGTGGGTTCTGAAATAGTGAGCATCGAGCCGCCTCGAAATGGGAATTATCGTTTCGAGAAAACCAGATAAACAGACCCCGCAGTGTACTTCCAAGCTGAAACTGGGCCACTCCTTCCTGCAGCTGTCATTCCTGCAGGACAGTTTATAGTGCGGGAAGCGTCGGTCGACTTTGCGCCTTCCGGGCGTTTCGGCAAAGAGTAATATCGAGGAAGTAGAATGTGTTAGACGAGGATGGACAGAAGATGGGCGAGAGAGAGAAAGAGCGAACACGAGACAACAGCACGAGCAGGAGCAAGAACCTTGACCCGCTCCTTCTGGGCCGACCGAAGCTCATCGATGTGCATTAAGTTGAGAAGAACTGCATGTATTGGAGCAGCAATAAGCTCCCCCCATTTTAGAGTCTTCAGTCACACTTGCAAACCAGTCTTGAGGATTGCCCTTCAAGCCACGGACCCCATGATCGTATGCGTTCTTTGTATCGAAGAATTTCTTCCTTGAAGGACAATCATACACCCCCGATATAGGCGGAAAGGACGATCTTCCTGCGGAGGTCGTACAGGCTCATATCGAGGATTTCAGCCTGGTATTCGGTCATAGAGACGGCTTTGTCAACATGTCTTTGTTGACCGCCCGCGACTGCGTGACACATGGTTTATTGGGCTTCGCAATGCCGGAAAGACCTGGCTGAGGCTTAGAGAGATGCCGGCCGCAACTATCAGAGTGGCACGGGATTCATCGGACTTTGTATAATTGAAAAGGCTCGAAGATGGTTTAGAAAGGATCTCCATCGAAGTCGTGTGAGTCTCACGCTGGTGGCAGATGCCCAATCGGAGTCGACGCCAATGGACGATTCCTTCAAGCCGGCATTCTTTCGTTGCCAGGGTCTGAAGCTCGGCCTTCGTCTCTGCCATAATAGCATTGCTATTGAGGTTTATGTACCGAGAATGCTGTCTGATGTAATCAGACTGCTGTTTGCTCAGCGTGAGATCTCCTGTCCAGGTAGTTTGGGCTGTATCTCCATGTTTGTCCCGGACAAGGAGTTGAGCCAGAGAAAGAATACCCGGCCACATAAGTGAATCAGCTCAATATATGCTGCACGAGAGGCAAGATCGGCCCATTCTTGCTCTCTGTGATCTTAGGGTCCAACTAAGATGAGCTTGAGAATGGATAAAACACCCAAAGTCAGTCGCCAGGCCCTGAGGATACCTCACGAAGAGCTTAACCACTGTCCAACGGGACAGCAACCCAAAGGCAAGCAGAATCTTATCAACCCAATTTCATAGTTGGGATGTTCCTCTGCATTCCAAGAATGCTTCTGCTGCAGATATGAAGAGCGCATTATCATCCTCAATAAGACCTTCTAGACCCAGCTATGCATTACGGTCAGAATCCTTTGCAGATATTGAAGACGTAGAACAGAAGAGATTACTTACCATCCGAAGAAAACTGCGGACTCAGCCAAGTCTTCAGTCGAGGCTACGACGTATACCATCGAGCACAGCAGTGGGATATATTTCGAGAAAGTCCACAGGGCCCGACTCCAGCTTCAGAACATGTGCTATGTATGCAGAGTAAGGTAGCCCTGTAGGCAGGCTCTAGGAATGAGAACTTCAGTGCCATAGTTCCCAAGGAAGCCGGTCCACACCGCGGTGAGTGGGAAGTAGACCCGCCTACTTGTTGATAGAATCTGCCACCGAAACGCTAAGAGCATGCTGATTAGCCAATAACCCCCCAGGTTCGTAGGATTGGTTACGATAAGAGTTGAACTCAATGTTCGAGATCGTTGAAGCATCGCAAAAAGAGCGGATTCCAGATATCCAGCTGTGTAGCACGCTACCAGGCGCCTGTTTTAGTCACGACTCAAATAAGGGCTATCAGTCGGGGCAACAACCTCGTCTCAACTCGGTGGGCAATTCTAGTGGAGTCCTTGGTGCTTCGCTCGAGTATTCGATCCCTTTCCAGGCATTTGACGTCTATGGTATGTGGAAATTGAGCATGGTCTTTCACGCCTCCACATTGATCCCCTCGAGGGATGGATTCTTTGCCCACCCACCACGGCCTTCAAGTCCTTGAGATCCAGGCTATTGAGATGCGCAATCGCAGCTTCTCAGATCCTTGAAGTATCTTTTACCTCGTCAAGTTGGCGCCGTCGTAGAAGAGGATGTTCTCTGCCCTGAGCCGGGGAGTTTGAACCCCTCTCCGCCCTTCTTCTTTAGGGGTCTAGTGTGGGTGGAGGGAGCAGTATCCTTTCTTCTCCTTTTCAATGCAATTGGCATGTGCAGCCTGTTTGGTCATACGGTTTGCTTCCAGGTGCCTTTAGGTGATTGCCACACAATCTCTCCAGTCTCCCACCCCTTTTTGGCAGTTAAGACATGCTGCTCGACCCGTAAAGGTTTCTCCTCGCCTCATAACCATGCGCACCTCGTGCCGTGGTGGTTTCTTCTCCCCTTATCGAGCCCGCCAGGGGTCTCAACGAGGGGCTCTTCTCTAATTCTTGGAATGACTGTCATGAGGAGTAGTTGGGTTGATGGTGTTGGATGTATAGAGAGGGGATGTATGTCAAGATAAGAAAGGCAGGCTGTTGATGAAATACAGTGGTGATAGAGGAACAGTGTCGATGGTTGTGGAAAAGAAAAGAATGAG